TTTTATCTGTTTACGAACTTTGGTTGTTGAATAAATTGTTTGAGCAATCCAAAACTGCTTGCAACCTAAAGATTAAAGATATTCTTATCTTAATATCTAATAATAAATATCTAATAATATCTAATAATAATTCTTAATAATATTCCTAATCTAAAGATATTCTTAATAATATCTAATAATATCTAATAATAAATATCTAATAATATCTAATAATAAATATCTAATAATATCTAATAATAATTCTTAATAATATTCTTAATAATATCTAAATCTTAAAGTTTCGCGGTTCAATAAAATCGTAAAATTACGACGAAATTCTTGATTTTTAATTGATTCAAGAGATGAATTTCGAGTTTTACTCTTGGAAACTCGTACAAACTTCACAAAAATTGAGGCACACAACTTCAAAGTTTCGTCAAGTTACTTCAAAAAAAAAAAAAAGTAACGAAATTAAATCCAACTTTTTTTACAGTTATCCTTAAAACATTCTAGAAACGTTTTTACTTAATTTTCAGAAGATTGATTTAACGAAATCGTAAGAAATCGTTTGTTTATTTCACATTGTTGAAATAAGAGATTTAAAAAAAAATTGGATACGAAAGTGAACAAAATTAAGTAGGTATTTTCGCACAAGTTAAATATATAATTTTTCTTATTTAGCTTCTTTCGTTAACGGAATAATTTAAGAGATAATGCCATTCACTGCTATCAATTTACTACTATACTAAATTTTTACTGCTTGAAACACATAAAGGATTAAAGATCACGATCGTAAGAATCAGAAATATGGCCAATAAACATGCAATAAAAATACAATAAATATAAGGAAGAATAAACGCATAAACCTAAGTCACTCTTCCATCGACGGAATCAATTCCAAGTTCTGGTTGAATCTTTTATCACTCAGTGTTATCAACGTCAACAAGTTGGCGTTATTTGACAAATACTTTTTATTCAATTGTTATATCGCGTTGTGAAAATTCTACCTGAACTTATTAGTCTTCATACGTTTTTTATACGTTCTTTTATACGTTTTTATATTAATTTGCGAGATTCAAACGTTTGTGAAGTTATTTGCTTGCATGAGAAAGAAAAAAAGAAGGATCAGAATGAATCGTTGTTAATTTGTCCAAAGCCACCATTCCGTTTGAAATCTTCTCTTCCTTCTCTTCAATTCTTCATTATTGAATCTGATCTTGTGACACTGAGATTATGAATTTACTTTACCCAACGTTACTTAAGGATTAACCAAACATTTGTTCAGTATCTTTTTTTTTGTTCTTACTTTTCCTTACCATTTAACACTTTGAACATTTTGATATATATTCTTTGTAAAGAATACAAAGACTAGATAAAATTGTCATACAGGGTGAGGTGATTAAAATAAGTCATTCCCAATTTTTTTGAGTATCTTATATTTAAAATTATCTGCCTTGTAACTAGATTCTACAATTCGTCCGGGTATGTACAGTAGAAATTCTTTTGCAATACGTTCTGCAGAAAAATAAAATACACATGTGTATCATTCCCTATGAAAAAATGATTCCTACAAATCGGTATAAAAAATAAAACGCGTACATACTCTCGCTTAGAAGTTTAGAGCATGTTGGAGCTTCAAAATAACAATCTTCTAAAGGAAGCATATATATATATATATATATAT